GGCCTAGACCCTTCTTCAGAAGAAGGGTCTAGGCCCGAAACGTCAGCCTTCCTGCTCCTCTGATGCTGCTTGGCCTGCTGTGTTCATCCAGCTCTACACCTTGTTATCTTAGATTCTCCAGCATCTGCAGTTCCTACTATCTCTGGGTATACATGAAGTTAGGTTTTCCAATTTCAACATGGGCCTGGAAGTGCATTGGGCAGATTTTCAAAATAGTGGGCTGAATTTGAATCCAGGATTCCATACTAATGCATTACTGTAGGCCGCTGGTTGATAGTCCAGTAACATTCCTGTTAATGTGTATGGGTAAGATGGACTAGCACTGAAAGCTGACACGAGTAATGGATTAGGGTTTAGTGCTGCTAAATTGATGCTCCAAGTCGCTCAAATATATGTAAATATAATTTCACACAAGTGAGAAATGCCTTTGGTTTGTTTGTTGGATAGAGTCTAACTCCAACGTTTCATATGCTACTGTACAGAATCGAACTGCTTTAGTGACTATGTATGTATTTAAAGATATTTTTATGAATAAAGTATATTTTTGAAATAAAAGAAAGATGGTGGGGAGATGCCATGTAAAGACGAATTCATTCACTTTAACTCGTTATTTAGCTTCTTAGTGTCATTGCTGCCAGATCCTCAGGTCCAGACACCAATGAATCCTCTGAGCATCAGATCCCATGGTCTTCTGTTGAGTATCTCTCGGCCTCCTGCATAATTATTGCAAGTCTCCTTCTGCTTGGCTACTCCATGAACATCTTGAATCCCTATCCATCACACTAGCACCCTCTTTCCACCCTGGTATTTAATCTTCCAACATTTAATTACTACCAGTTTTATTCAAATGCAACGTCCTTTTAAGACACACAGCATAGACTGTCTGAATCATGTTGTATCTGCACTACCACATATAGCCCTTTGGTTCTTTTTTATTCACCTGTGGCATGTGGGCATTGCTGGCTGGCCAGCCTTTATTGCCCATCCTCATGCATAGTATCAGCACAAAGAACCACCTACTTGGCCCCATGCTATAATCATGGAATTGAGATGGATGCACCAAATTTATATTCTGCTCACTTCATTCCGAAATGATTGAAGCATGTTATGAATGTATGAAAGCCAGGGCACACTGATTTCTAGCCCTAGGACTTCATAAGTACTTTAATTTTCATTTAAATTTTAATTTTTTAATTTTCTGACCATTTCACCTAATGTTCTGTTGAATCATTGAGAACAGACATTTTATTTTTGATGTATCCATTCTTCAACTGGTTTATCTCACATGAATCATTTCTTCTTCAAAAAATAGTTAGATGGTGTGTCTTCATTGTTAACTTCAGCACGAGTTATTTTAAACTTAGAGAGTGTAGAGAAGATATTTAGCACAACACACAATTTATTTTAACAAATATTTTACAGATCCTTATATACAAATATTTACAATTGACGAACAGACAAGGAGAAGATCCTGAATTAAGTTTGTCCCAATCTATTTCTCTTTCTAAACTGTGATTCCAGTCAAATTCCTTCATTCTGAAAATGGATACCTTTGGGAGTCTCGTAATTAGTTGTTTTGCCCAAGTAACCTCTTGATAATTGTATACTGTTTTTTACCTGGGGAACTGGAGTACACAAAAATAATTACTTCCTCTCCACTCATGCAACACCTTCCAGTCCCCATAACAAAAAAAAATCTTCTTTTAATCAAGGGGCACAAAACAATGGGATTCTCCTGTTACATAATTGTGTAAAAGTTATGAAACATAACTGTAGCATAATATACAAAAGCATTAAGAAAAAAATCAATGCAAACTATTATTTCAATGAGATTTTGAAGTGCAAGGTTCTTCACACAACGCTTGATCAACAGCTAGAATTGAGTTCCGAGTAGATTTATGGGGACACAGTGGAATCAATTAAAAAAAAACTGGATTTTCTCAGAAGATACTTTTGACTTTTCTAAATGGATTAGCGGAGACGAGTTGAATCAATTCTCTGAGCTTATAGTTTCCTAGTACAAGATTCAAATACATTATTTGTATTTGATGCCCTATGTTGCCTTGTTAGTACGTTTGTGAGGTTTTTGAAAACATTATTTCTGAGATAGTTCAATGGTTTATTTTTGAAAACAGATTAGAAAATGAGACTGAAAGCTCTAGATTTTCAAATTACTGGCAATGTATCTCTTTTTGAACAGCACATGCAATCCTGTGACCTTTTCTTTAAGAGCACAGTGCACTTTTATATTTATTTTTGACTGATTCTAAGTGGTTTGACTTTTATTTTCCTGGCAACTGTTACTTGCGCAACTCTGGGTACCTCTTGTTGTCATTGAAAGTGCAATCTCTGTTCACATGAGAATGTTATTAGTTAATTGTACTTACAGAATCTGGCAGACAAGTAGTGGGATTATGCTTCAGTCATACAGGGCACTGAGAACACATCTGAAATGCCGTGCACAGTATCAGTCATCTTATTTAAGGAAGGATATGAATACAATGGAGGCAGTTCACAGGAGGTTACCAGATGAATACCTGGAATGAACTGATTGTCTTACGAGGAAAGGCTGGACAGGCTAAGCGTGTACTCACTTGAGTTCAGAAGACTAAGATGCGACTTATTTAAAACATAAAATCTGAAAGGTCTTAGGCTAAATGTGGAAAGGATGTTTCCTCTTATGGAAGAATTTATACCTGGGATCACTTTTTAAAAATGATAGGTGACACATTTAAAACAGAGATTTTAAGTGAGATTTCTTCTCTCTCAAAAGATTTTGAGTCTTGGAACTCTCGACGTGAAAAGATTGTGGAAGTAGAGTTCCTGAATATTTTTTAAGACAGTGGTAGATAGATTTTTGTTAAGTAAGGGGCTGAAAGGTTATCAAGGGAACGGAAATGTGGATTTGAGGCTACAATCAGATCAACTGTGACCTTTTGAATGGCAGAGCAGCTCGACAAGCTGAAAGGCCTACTTCTACTGTTGGTTCATAGGTATGTTCATGTGAACCGAATGGGGTAATTTTAACCAAACAGGTCACATGAAAAATTGTTGTGACTGGATCAGTTGCCATTGTTATACCCTGTCTGATTTAATTTTTGATGAAATTAACCAACAGCTAAACAGAGATTATACCGCAAATCTCTCAAAATAAACTCTTGTGGCGAATTGTCAAAGACTTTCACTCCATCAATCAGAGATGGATTTGAAAGCAGACTCATTGTAAAAATCAGCCCTTGCTCTTCCTATTTGTGCTAACAAAGTATTCCTTGCCTTTTTGCTTTGATGAACCCATTGTTTAAAATTGTTAAAATTTACTAGCCATCATCCTATCCATATTCTTTCGACTGGTTGGATTAAAATTAGGATTTTAGGATCAGGATAAAGACATTCAAATATTGCAGCCAGCTCTGCCATTCAATTAGGATATGCCTGATCTGTAACCCAATCTCATTTACTTGACTCCATTCCATGTACCTTAATGGCCTTTGCCCCAAGAATATGAAGGCAAAAATCAATTTTAATAAAGGAATGAAATTTTGTAATGTCATTTCTTGTATAGAACATGTGTAATCTTCCAACTATTTCCAGAATTTATGGCTTTCCAATTTTTTTTGGATGCTACTAGATGATAAAAATTTTCCACATATCATTTCAGCAATTAAATAGAACAATTTAATGTTTTTTTTTCTTTCTGGCATCAATATTTTTGTTTCCATGGAATGGATGTAGGTGATATGACTCATGACATGGTAGAACTGTAGACTCTAATATTAAGTAGCATTCTATCATGTTTAGCACCAAAAGCAACCAATCACCTGCTTCTCTGCCTTCCTCACTAGAACAAGGCTAAGAAATGAGAAGCCATAAAACAAAAGTTGCTGAAATGCTTATACTGTCCAGTGGTAGGGTTACAGCTGAATGCCCCAAAGATGAACTACTGGATCTGGAGAGATGAATGGGTAGGGTGTTCACATAATTTTTCATAAGAAAAACATACATCTTTGGCTTTCTGTCTCTTCTGGGTTTATGATATAATATGAATACCAAATTTTAATTATTCATAATCAAGACTGAGAAAGGAATTAGAAATATTTCAGTTCTGATAATTGTTGCTATAACACTTCATCCACAAGTGAAATTGCACTGTGCAATAATAACCACAGGTTAAAACCTTTGGAGTTTAGAAGACTGAGAGGAGACCATATTGAAACCTAAAATGTTCAGGGGTCTCGACAGGGTATATGCTGAGAGACAAGAACACAAAGTGCTGGAAAAAGCTCAGCACATGTGGAGAGGCAAACAGAATTAAGGTTTCAAGCTGTGAACCATCTTCAGAACGGAGTTTTTCCAGCACTTTTTGTTTTTGTTTCAGATCTCCAGCATCCCCAGTTCCTTGTTTTATTTTGAACGCTGACAGCTTGATTCCCCACTGTGGGAGAGTCATGATCTCATTGAATGGTGGAGAAGATTCAATGGGCTAGATAGCCTCATACTGCTCCTAGGTCTTATGGTCTAACAGAGAAATTTAATCTGAACATATAAGTGCATTTTCAACATCTTGGAGAGTATTGGTTACAATAACTGATTGAAAGCAAGTTATCAAAACGGTCTAGTGTTTTTGACTACTATCTCTCCTCAATGACCTTGGGTGTAAAATTATTGTTCAATGTAACATTAACCCTTCAAAATTAATATGTGTCAGGTTCTATTCCTATTCAGTACTGAGCTAACAGATTCACTGAGGACAGTGCTTGTGATATTCTAATTAGTCCTTATTTCTCCAGTATTGCTGAGTGATGAAAATCAGTATTGGCCTTTGGAATTGATCATTCCTCAGTGGAACCAGTGTATATGCATGATGCACAGTCGACAATAGAATAAGCTGCAACTATGATGTTAACCTCCACCCGCATTAGCTCAAAAAGCATATGACGAATAATAACACAGTTGAACCTCACTGACAATCAATGCCTTCAAAGGGAAAAAAAAACTGATGGCTGAATCCAGCTACTGTCCTCAATCTTTTTTCATCTATACTATGTGAAAAAAATCAAAAAAGTTCCACAGGAAAGCAACAGTGTTAGAGAAAAAAGTAGCAAAGGTCATATCTCAAATCAGTTTGGAGATCCCATTTATCACAAGGTGACCATTTTCAGATTTTAGGTTTTATGACAACCATAACCAATGCCTACATGTGTCAACACTTTCTTTAGGATTGTAAAACAGGATTTGCTCAAAGCAAGAAAAAATTAAACTTCAGCAGAACAGTTTTCAGTTTCTTTTTAGCAAGAGAAGGGGATATTTGATTACGTTGAGTAGAATCAAGTTTAGGCTGAGTTAAGATGGGGTCAAACAGCTAATTCACTTAATCTGTTCGCCCAAAAAAATTCCTGAAAAATTACAAATGATTGCTGATATTTCTACAAAAGAAACAAAATGGGCCCAGTTTTAACTCTGCAAGTAAATGCAATTTGAGTGAGATAAAGTCTCATCCAATACTAGCAATGCACAACAGGTTTGTCAGCATTTTTAAGAGGTTATGTTTTGGATGTAGGCTCTTCATTTATTCTTACAAAGGGTCTCTATCCACTCATTTCTCCTGATAATGGATGTGATGTTTACTTGTTTGACAATTTCTGCTTTTCGAATTCATATTTTTAGTATTTGTTTTATTAACATTGATATTCTATTCCTGAGTTAAAATAAAAATCTGTTCCTTGTTCTTGTTTGTCACAGAATAAATGCTTCTATGCAATTTGAATAAAAGGTTACCTGATAAACTAGTGCAATAAATGTAATAATAATTCCGACATAAATAGGAATCTTAGAATGAGGCAGAAACTTCTGTTCTATTAGAAATTGAAGATAATTTGGAGATATATCATTAGGACTTGTGGAACCGTCCAGCAGTTTCACTTTGGCTTTCCAAAAACATTTACATTATGATTTCATAGGGATTTGTCTTTTGCTTCTTTTAGGATACAAGCAAAAGTCAAAACTTGTAAAAAAGATATAAATCTTAAACATATAAACGATTACTATCCAACCAAAGGACAAAATTAGTTTACATATCATTGTGTTTGATGCCCTTTGGTAGCAAAAGCTACCACATTAAAATACCAGCATTACTAGTTATACCCTGCATGCTGACTGAAGGCTCAGAATTTTATACTTAAAAACCTCAATACTGTCATCATAAAGCTCTTTTAACAGCTCTCCTGCACTTCTGAATATGGGAAAGTTTGATGCAAGCCACTGTTAGACTTTACGTCCAAGATTTCTCTCACTGTCATTGCAATCAACACAATTACTGAAATGTTTCCCTCGATTTTATATTTTGTTGGTCTCTCAGCTCCAGAAATATTGCCGAACACAGATTCCAATTTCACTGTATTTCCACTCCATTGAAATCAGGGCACACTGAAGTCACCTGCTATTTCAAAATGATGAAATCTCTTAAGCCCTTTTCTTTCTCTTTTAATCAATTGACTTTTATGATCCAAGCTGGATGTCTTGGAAACTATTCTTCTTAATTTTACAACTTTTCTCTCTTTCCTTTTTACTTAACTTAGGACATGTCATTTTGTGACATAGTGGGCAGTGTACCTGCTTCTGAGCCAGAAGCTCTGGGTTCATCTCCTACTCCAGGACATGATAGCCAAAGTTCATAACACAGTCAAAGAGATTTAACACCAATGTGCAAATTCTTACAACATAAGCCAATCATAGCTGGTAAAAAGGGGGAAAGATTCCTGATCCTTATGTAATGGAGGGAAAATCGGAACCTCCACCATCACCATTATTTCCTCCAGACTACAACGCACATGTAAAAGTGTACGTTGCCATAGCAACTCAGGTTGGAGTGGCCAGTGTGGCTCAGTTGGTTGGAAGGTGGTTTGGATCAGAGTGGGACCAACAGTACAGGGTTCAATGCCTGATCTGCCTGGAGTAGATTCAGCACCTGCCTCCCTTTCCCACTTGCATTAGACAGCATGCCACTATGTGTTGGACCAGCCTTTGGGCAGAGAACAGAAGGTGATCTGTATTTTGACCTTTGACCTTCACGACAGACCTGCTGTATGAAAAATAAGAGTTATACCAGCAGCTAATAAAACCACTTGGTATTCTTCTGGATTCTATTTGACACAGTTCGTAACAAATTGCTGTTAAAATATAAACCAAAAATAGCTCAAAATAATCCAATACAGTGGCATCACTGTTAGAAATATAACATTCTTTGTGTATTCTTTGTCTCTCTGATGGAGGCAGCAATTTGGAAGCTGCCTATTTTCACTGTATGTTCACTTCTTAATTGAAAGAAATCAACTTACTCCTTCAATTAGTTATTTCTTGAACCATATTAATCCATTTGCATTTTAATCCATTGTAAAGTTCGGCTGTCATATAAAATAGTCATTTTAAAGTTTTTGACAGAGGACAAGATTGCCGTACATCAGTCCACTCTTGTTTAGTGTTCTGCAAAGCCTGGGTCTTCTGTTCATCTACCTGGACGTAGTCTACCCTCTCTTCCAGCATAGATGAAAGGAATGGCTTCTGTGTATAAGACCAAAAATATCTATTAAATGCTAAGCAAGATGAGTCATCTCTTTAATTCATACCATTTCTCACTCTGCTCTCATATGCTTTTCCTCTTGCAAACTTCCTTTTACTTCACTGGATGGAATCATGCCCATTTTTTTGGTTTGGTGTATGTCATGTCGAGTTTAGTGGAGTAAATACAAGACTGAAAAGGTTTTATTTTCGTGTCTTACCAACATCATCACTTTAATCACTCTTTGAACAAGAATCACACCCTATTTCCATCCGATCTTGCCAGACATCATTTCCGGAAGCAACCTGCCACTCACTGGAAATCCTAGAGTTGACTGGCATCCCTGGCACCACCACTCTATTTAAACAGTCGTTGTGAACCTGGACAAGCACTGACAGACCAGAACTGCCCTGCAAAACACCCAACATGGCAGACAGAGGGAAATCCTTGCCCTGCTTTGCGGGTATGGTCTCGGAAATCATGCTGGACAGGGTGGTGCAGGAGGAGTGGAGGCCACGATACCAGACCACGCCAACCTGATCTGAGGTTGCCACCCAAGCTGAAGCAGTCTCAGCCATCTGGAAGAAGGCCCTGCACTGTAGGAAGATGATAAACATCCTTCATCAGCTCGCCAGTGTTTAGGGCCACCGTTTGTCTCCAATACCTTACACTCAATTTCTGCCACTGTACCCAGCTCCCACTAAGGCTCATATTCTCTGACTCCAACTAAAGCATGCAACATCTTCTCCACTCACTCTCACCCACTCCAGTTTGCAACATCACTAACCCTGCACACCGTCTACATTTACCTACTCACTTGTTTGGGAAACCTCCCAGCTGCTACAGAAGTAATTACGGTGTATCCACTTTCATCTTTCATTGTACCTACTTCTGTTTCATTTCTAGGCAGAAATAGGCAGGATGCCTGTCACTTAGCTCTTCACCTCTTATAAACAGAAGATCCTGACTCCAACTGCTCCAGCAGGGCTTGCACCAGTATCAGAGGTTGCTCTTGTAATACTGTGCCAGAATCTTGATTGAAGGCTATCTACCTTGTCTGGACTGAGGCCTGCTGACAACCAGAGCAAGCTTCCTGGCTTTGTGTCCACGCTAAATGGCATGGCAAGAAATGGTAATATGAACCAGGTATCGCTGGCTGATGTAGCACAGTACAAAAAGGCAAAGCAAGGAAGGCACCCAGGTGAGCTCAGTGTAAGTGAACAGTACGGCAATGAACGAGCAGCCCAGATGTGGAGCCTGGCCCAGTTCATGAGCAGGGGGTGTGTCCCTGAGCACATAGTGCCCTTGTTGCTGCATTACAATGATAGTCGCCCATGTAGCCCGAAGTGCAGCACTGAAATGCAGAAGTATCCTGTGAGTAGATCGGAGATGTGCCATGAAGATTCTGAGTGACTGGCACATGTTGGATGCCAATGCTCAGGGATGTGAGGTGGATATGGCTGATGCACATGGAGTGTGCCTGAGATATTGGTGGCTGCTGTCCTACATGCCCATCTTTTGGAGCAAGTGATGAGCTGAACCCGCCAAGACCTGGTCTGGTTTCCATATCAACTTTTCCTGATGAGTAGTTTATATGGTGAGTTTGATAAGATTGCAACTGTGGTGAATTAGGCTGTTAACAAGCAACACCGAGCATCAATTGGGAACACACTACTCCCTGATAAGAATCTCCCCACGCCACTTGAACAAAGTGGGGAAGATGTGACAACATGATCTCAACATTGGAACCATCATCTCACTTGATTCTCCCACTTATCTCACCATAGCCCACACCATCCAGAGCCTGGGATGATTCTGCCACTGTATTTTTAAAACAGACTTCAACATACCTTCTCATGTTATTGCTTTCTTTTGAACAACTCCCACTCCTAACACTCACAATCCTGTATTCTCATACATTCTCAAAATATTTGTCTCGTACCTTTCTTGTTTGTATTCTTACTGTTGAAGATGATGTGGAATTTCGTATTAAGCGATTTGGCATAATTTGTTGGTGCTATTTATTTCTTAAGAACATGTCCAGATTTGTATTTTGAGTTTGTTATAATTGCTACATATATCTCAAATAGTAAACTGATATGCATTAAAAATAACCCAATAAAGCAAATCTGGAGCACGTACCTTCTGAACAGGAGATGGAGATGTTGCATTGAAGTCTAAGGCTAGATAGTCCAAGTTTAAAGTTCGGGGACAGTGACTGCTGCCATAACCATTATATACAGAGCTGGAGCGTTCCTGTGAATAAAGGTACGAATTAATCAAAACAAAGTATTAAAGCATAACACAACAATTCTTAGTTCATTTAGAAATAAAATACTGCCGATGCTGAAAATCTGAAATAAAAACAGGATGCTGGAAGTACTCGGCAGATCAGCCAGCATCTGTGGAGACAGAAACAGAGTTAACGTTTCAAGTCAGTTAAATTTATTACATTTATTAGACTCTATGAAGTCAATTTATTAGAACTGGAAAAATTAGAAATATTATAGTTATTGAAAACAAAAATACTCTTATGAAGTCCCTTAGTAACATTTTACAACCTCAATAGTGCTATATAAAGTAAGTTGATTTATCACTTTGAAACAAGTACGGAGGGATGGAAGTGATAAAAGGGAAGGTCTGTGGTAGGGTGGAAGGCAGGAGAGATTAAACGGTAGAAGAGTTGAAGGTGCAAGGCAAAATGAGGCGGTACTGCGACAAGGAAAGAAACAAAAATCGACATAACTGAGGTGTAAGTGGTACCAGCAGAAGAAAATATTAATACATGCAGCTCAAAACAATTGAGCCACTTGTTGTCAACTGAAGTTGTTGAATTCAAATATGGAGTCAGCAAAGTTAGAAAGTGCTTAACTAACAGATGAGGTGCTGACCCTTGAACTTTATTGGATTAATGCAAATTATCCAGGATAAAGAGATCAAAGTTGAGTTGCAATGGAGATTTAACATGACAAGCCACTGGAAGTTCTGGATCCTGCTGAGGGACTGAAAGGAAGTGTTCAGCAAAATGATCACCAAATCCACATTTGCTTTCCCTACTGTTGCAAAGAGCAACAAATTAACTATAACTAGATATCCGAATAAATCACTTTGTGACTTGAAAGGAGTGTTTAGGTGATGAGAAGAAAGGAATGAAATGAAAGGGTGAATGTTGCACTTCCTATGCTTAGATGGAAAGGTACCGTGGGATGTAGAGCATTGGGAGTGAGTCAAGACGAAACAGGATACCATAAATAGAACAATCCAGTCTGAGGGCTAAATGGGGACAGGGAGGTAATGGTATGTTGCTTGGAATGGTAAAAGTGGGGAAAGTTGGGCAAAGACCATCTCAATGACAGTGGAGAGAAATCCAAGGTTGAGGAAAAAAAATATGAACACAGATGTGAAAGCTAACACTATCAGAACAGCAGCAGCAGCAAATGTGGAGTATAATATGGAGTCCTCATAAGATGCAGGGTAAGAGGAAAATGCAGTCAAATTGAGAATGACTGAGCTGATTGTAAATATTGGCTAGCAGCCTAACCCAGAGATGGAAATAAAGAAGTTGAAAAAGGAAATGGAGGAGTTGGATCAAGTGAAAGTAATGGTAGGGTGGAAATTAGAAGCCAAGATTATGAAATTTTCCAGTTTGGAACAACCCACAGGAAGCAGCACTAACACATTCATCACTGTACTGGAAAAGGAAGTGAGAAAAAAGACCTGAATAAGACTGAAAAAAAGGATGCTCCAACTTTCTATGACAAGGCAGGAATAAGTAAGACACATAGGTTCTCCAGTGATATTATTTGGAAAAAGTGAGTGCAGTTGAAGGAGCGTTGTTTTATATAAGATTCAGTTCAGCTAGATGGATGAATGTGGTGGTGTGTGAGAACAGCTTAGGTCTCTCTCCAAGAAAGAATCAAAGGATCACAGGTCATCCTCGTGTAGGTTAGGGGTATAGAGAGACTGAACATTCTTGATAAAAAGAAACACGTTAGGGTGAGGAAACTGGAAACAGTTAAAGTATCAGGAGGTGTTAGACGAGTCACAGATGTAGGTCAGAAGACACCGACAAGAAGAGATGAAATTGGGAAAAAGTAGGTCAGTGGGGCAAAGCATAATAATTGGTCTAATATGGTATTCGTGTCTTTGGAAGGAGATAGAATTAGACTGTGTGGGGCTGCAGACCTATGAGTTTAGATGCCTTGGAAGAGGATAGATAGTCAGGGCAGATGAGATCAGCAATGAAATTACAAGCGATGACTTGATGTTCAGTCATGAGGTTGCAGTTCTGGGAGAGGAAGGAGAAAGCAACACAGAGTTAATGTTTAGTCTCTACAAGATAGAGGCTCATTTAATACAAAAAAACCCCAACAGCATCACGCTTTTTGGCAGGTTTAACAACAATATCAAGGCTAAATAGACATCCATTACAGAGTCCCTCTGATTAAACCAATGAAGTACTTTTGAAGTTATTTTAGTGATCTTGATTAGATCAGAGAGAATGAGGTTCTACAAATTCAGAAGTAGGCAGTTTAGAGTGAGGGGTGTAGAGAAATTGGATCAGTGTCATAAAAACATTACAGATTCATAACAGGCAGCCAAATAGTAATGAATCAGAAATGCAGAATTGTAACTATCATTTCAAAAGTTGCAGTTCTGAAGAATTTTACACCTTTTTAAAAACAAAATCTTGAGACTGCATAAGAATCTTTATGAATCCGTGTGTGAAAGGTATTTATTCAAAGAAATCCTAAGAACATCTTTCTTCTTGAGAATGAATAAAAATGTTAATTAGACTAAACGAGCCTCTCGGTTTTTTACTTAAATGAATCCACCTCACATATATCTAAAATACCTCTCAATTTCAAAAACAGATTGATTATCTTCTCTTCTTATCTTTGTTTCCTAGTATTTAGCTAGAGAGGTACGTAAGATGCATCACTGTGGTGAATGCATCACTCACTGATTACTGATTTCTGTCATTATACCTGTGGCCAGTTGGGTTGTGTATTATTATTGTAGTTAGATTTCATACTCTTAGCTACATTGTTCCTATCTGAACATTATCACAAGTCTAAGTGGCAAGGGATTTGGGGTGGGGCACAGTTAAAGCATAATAAAACCACAACAAGGACAGAATAAAAGCAAAATACTGCAGATGCTGGAAATCTGAAATAAAAACAAGTGCTTGAGAAAGTCAATAGGTCTGGCAACATCTATAGAAAGAAAAACAGAGTTCCAAAGGAGACGTAGACTGAACATGAAGTGTTAACACTGTTTCTCTCTTTACAGATGCTGCCAGACCTGCTGAATTTTCCAGCATTTTGTTCTTATTGCAATAAGGATCAATTTGGAGGCAAAACATTTAATGCTCAAGGGATTAGTGAAAACATGTGATTCACTTTTGAGTTTTACTAATTTCTGAGGGTTCAGCATACTAAGTAACACATGTGTCACGCCTTTTGCGTATATTTTTTTAAAATACCAATGTGCGGCTTTTTGTCCAGCTCGGCTCATTTTCCAGAATTCCAGCTGTAAGTGATAAAGATTATCCTGTGTAATACCAAAGGAAATCTTCTGCCTCATTGGTACACTATTCAACAAGTAATGAACAATAATTGCATGTATGATTATTTTTACCATTGCTGTATAATTTTCTTCATACTCTCCATCAAGGGTGTTGTAAAAGCTTCTGGCTGAAGTACATTGACTCTCTGGTGTGATGCAGTTGGCTGTACTCCACCTACTTAAAGAAGAGAAAAAAAAATACAGCTAAAGATCTCAGCACACAAACAACACTGAAGAATTATATACAGATAGACAAAAAAACAGGCCTTTTACCCCTCTAACCTATTCAACTTCTTCCACAATTCAATTAGATCATAGTTATTCTGTACCTGAACTCAATTTACCCATCTTTTACCCAGATCCTGTGATACTCTGGCTAAAATAGGTCATCTAAATTTTTGAATAAGAATATTTTAAGCAAAAACATCTAAAATAAATACAGGAAAAAAGTTGGCTAATTAATTGCTGTGTCAAATTATAATTTCTCTCAATTCTGTCCCAAAAGTAGTGAGAAGAAATTTAGGAGGAATTACATTCATTCCTGGGCACCAATATTAACGATTAGATTAGTTAGACTGACAGCCTAATCTGTGAGGGCATCATCTACTGTGCAGCTGAGCTATACATATCAGTCAATTCCTTATGGAATTGGGTTAGCTCATCTCAGTTGCTTAAGTATCACTATTGGCTCTTGAATCCCAGAGCTGAAGAAGGAATGGCTACTGTCTGATGCTCACTGAATGCTCTCTAAAATGTACAAGTTAATTATTAGCATGATTCATAATGTGATATTGTGTATTAGCCTCCCTGGTAAAATATGCTAGTACCACTGAATTTCCGGCTCATGTACGAAAAATGGCAACTTTAGACAGAGAGCAGAAAATTGCATTTTCTTGAAAAACTGTTGTACCTAGGCTTAGCATTCCTTAAAATTAGACAAGGAAAGAAATATGGAAAACTGGAACACATTACAACCTGAAATTATAAAAGGATTGCAGCTGTTCAACAAGGCAGCTAGCTCATCACCACCATCCCAATGGCAATTAGGAACACCAATGCATAACATAGCCAAAGTCCACACCCCCAAAAATAAATATAAAAAAAATTTTTCAATTGTTTATAGGATTCGGGATTTCCTGGCAAGACCAGCATTCTCAAAGCTAGTGCACCACCTTTTCTAACTGCTGCAATCCATGTGGTGGACGTACAACCACAGGTGGAAGGTCTGTTTGGAAGTTTAAGGATTTTGACTCAGCAGTAATGAAGAAACAGTGACATATTTCCAAGCGAACACTGTATGTAACTTGGAAGGTAATTTGCTAATGGTGGTGTTCATACATGTCTGCTATGGTAGAAGTCACTAGTTTGGAAGTTGCTTTCAAAAGGAGCCTTAGCAAGTTGCTGCAGTATATTTTGTAGTTGGAGTGCACTGTTGCCATGGTATTTGACTTGATGGATGGGTACAGGTCAAGAGGGCTGCTTTGTCCTTGATAGTGTTGAGATTTTTCAGTGTTGTTGTCGCTATGCCCACACAGGCAAACAGACTGTCTTCCAGTACATTGCTGACTACTTCCTTGTAGGTGGTCTTCAGACTTTGGAAAGTCAGTGTCACATTTAACAGGTTGCAATAACGATGTAGTATGGATCTGATAGCCACTGTAGTTATATAGCCAATGGCAATTAGCAACAGCAATACATGGCACAGCCAATATCCACACCTAGTTCAGTTTCTGGTGCATGGTATCCCCTATACATTGATTATGGTGAATTCAACAATAGTAATGGCACTGAACATTAACAGGAAGTGGTTAAATTCTCTCTTGTTGGAGATGTCAATTGTGGATTGCCAATGTTACTTGCCATTTATAATCCTAAGCCTGAATGTTGTCCACATGTTGCTGCATGGAGCTTGGACTGCTTCAGTATTCGAAGAATTGTGAATGAAATTAAATATTGTGCAACCATAAGCTAATAATCCCAGGTCATATTTTATCTTGGGCGGATGACCATTGAGGAAACAGTTGGCGATGGTTGGGCCTAGGATATCCAGTGGATCACCTGCAGTGACGTCTTAGGGCTGAGATAATCCATTTCCAACATTAGCAACCACTTTTCTTTGTGTCGGGTATGTCCAACCAGTGGACATTTTCTTTTTCTCCCTGATCCCCACCAACTTCAATTTTACAAGGGCTCTTTGATACCACAACCAAATGGTGCCTGATATCAAGGATAATCACTCTCATCTCGCCTCTGGAGTTTCACTCTTTTTTCCATGTTTGGACCAAGGCTACATTGACTTCTGAAACTAAGTGACTCTGGCAAAGTCCAAACTGAACACTGGTGAGCAAGTCATTGCTGAGTAAATGCCACTTGATAGCACTGTCAATGACTATTCCCATCACTTGGCCGTGATTGAGAGGAGACTAATGGAGCAGTAATCAGCCAGATAAGGTGGCCCCCTGGAAAAATCTGGAATGGCAATGGTTGTCTAAAGAAATTTATCAAGATTACTCAGCTATTCCACAATGGAATGATAGCCTAGGTTTTTTTAAATGGTAAATCATCAACTCCATTTGTTTTTTCTGGTGGAACGAAGGAGTGTTACTTTCTAGCACCTGTCCTCTTTAATGGTTTCTTCACCTTTGTCCTTAGCCTCAGGATCTTGAAGAGGGAGTGTATCTCTGACACTGTCTTGATGTCCCACTCTTTGACCTGTGAAGTCTCAGTGCACAAGCTGAACATTTCACAAAACTCATCCTGGAACTCCTTTTTGCTAATACTTGTACCTTAAAGCTTATAAAATGAGAGATTTGTAGACTTTTTCAGGATTCAAAGCTGTTTAAATTAAGCATCAGTGATAGGAAGGCTGAGGTTTTATACAAGCCCTTGACAAATTCAGGCACTGATCGACTACACGTCTCAATTGATGATACAAAGCTGAAGTATGTTGATAGTTTTAGATATCTTGCAACCATTGTCTCCAACAATAGTTTGCTTGATAAAGCGATATCAGCTTGGATTAACAAAGTAAGCCTGGAGCTGCCCGACCCCACATACCAGGCCTTGTTACCACATAGCCTGCCATTACACACCCCCTGTTGTTAGTCACTAACAGTCCCCATTAACAACTATTCACCCTCCCAGCCTGATCGTTAGCAACTCCTTCATCTGTCCAACTGTCTTTCTCTCTCTTTAGGCTCTATCCTATCGTTTACTCCCTATCCCACCCACCTCCCTATTTTCTGCATATATGGTTTTCCCAGCCATCATCAGTTCTGAGGAAGGGTCACCGGACCCGAAATGTTAACTCTGTTTTCTCCTTCACAGATGCTGCCAGACCTGCTGAGCTTTTCCAGCAACTTTGTTTTTGTATACTCTGCATTCTGTTCAATTACCCTGATGTACTTATGTAAGGTATGATTTGTCTGGCGAGCACACAATACAATACTTTTCACTATGTCTCCGTACATGTGACAAGAATAAATCAAATACAAATACAAGGGTGTACAACTCTCTGCTATTACTTCTCACATTCATGGCTGAGTATCCTGGATTCTATAATGTAAAGACATAAGGCAGCTGGTGTAATTTCACATGCACACTCTTTGCTTCATCCTCAGCATCTGCTGGAAAGACCTGGCTACAAATCTCAAAATGTTTGACTAAGGATTGCAGCAATAATCCTGAAAGCCCAACTACTCTGGGTACAGCATGTAATTCGAATGGAGGACTATTGTATTCCAAGACAGATGTTGCACCTGGCAAAAGACATCAAGGTCACCTTTGCAAGCGGACATGCTTGAAGGAAATTTAAAGTAGTGCAGCATCAAGCCTAAACATCTGGAAATATCAGTGTGAGAAGGAACTCACTGGACAGACCTGACTTTTAAAGCTTTTGACACCTTTAAACAAGTTTGACGTCAATGTCGAATTGCTGCTGTGAACAACATCACAGAACAGCATCTGTTCATACAACAGTGTGTCTGTCCCAATTTTCCAACTAATTCTGACAGTGTGCATTCAGACTGGGGCCACCGGACTGTCTGTTGGAGTTTGCACATTCTCCCTGTGTCTATGTGAGTTTCTTCCGGGTGCTCCGGTTTCCTCCCACAGTCCAAAGATGTGCAGGTTAGACTGGTTGGCCATGGAAGAAACCCTGTGGGGTTACAGGGATGTGGTGAGGGAGTGGGTCTGAGAGGGATGCTTTTTGGAGGGTTGGTGCAGATTTGATGGGGTGCATGGCTTCTTTCTGCACTATAGGAATTCCTTAATTCTATATAACCTTCTCTGCACTCATTGTCAATGAATCTGCACATCCAGCATCTTCTTTGAACTCAAAGGACAACCAACCAACTGATTTTTGTAACCAGCAGGGTAAATGAGAGTTTTGAGGTTGCTAGGCTAAAACTAGTGAGGTGAGACAAGAATCAGTGCTTGGTCTTTAGCCTTACATAATCTATATCTATAACTTAGATGAAAAAATATTCAAGTTTGCTAACAACATAAAATTATAGGGAAAAGTAGGCAATGAGAAGAATGCAAGATTTTAAAAGAGATATTGACAGGTTAAACGAGTTAGTGAAAATATAGCTGAGTATGGGAAAATATGAAGTTATTCGCTTTGAAAGAAAAAAATAGAAGAACAGAATATAGTTAAAAGTTGGGAGCCTGGGAAACGTTGGTATTCAGAGGTACCTGAGTGACATGAATCCCAGAAAGTTAATATGCAGGTACGGAAAGCAATTCACAAGGTAAATTATATGTTTTCTATTGTTACAGAGGAATTGGAATTGTTGTCACTTTATGAGGCAATATTCTAATGAGCAAGTACCAGGACATAGAAAATGAGAGCAGCAGCCATTAGGTATTTTACTTGCAGCATATGGTGTAAGAAAATGTAGTTGAGCTTTCTTGTCAAATTACAATTGCTGAATTTATATCTTCAAATAAATTGAACTCACATTTAGTCTTGGTATGAGATTGCTAAGTTTGTGTTAAGCAAACATGTAACTTCAACACGAATATAAGTGTAAAGAAGTCTTACTGCAATTGTATAGGTCCATAGTTAGACTGCACCTGGACTACTGTACAGTTTTGGCCTTCCTACCTAAAGAAGTCCATAATTACCTTGGAAGATTCACTAGACTGATGTGCTATGAGGAGAGATGGAGTAGACCAGGGTAGGTTCTAAATTTAATAGCTGAAGACAGAATGGATGAACTGGTTATTTTTCAAAATTCCTTACATTCTGAAAAGGTCCCACAGATTGGAATTTAGAATGTAACACCACTCTACTTAGAAATCAGGGCAAGAGAAAACAGAACTACAGGCGAGATAGCATGACATCAGTTAACAAGAAAGCGCTGGAAACTAATATAATGGAAACAATGTTGTTAGAAAAATATTGTATGATTAGAACATGTCAACATGGCTTTATGAAGCAGAAATCCTGTTTTACAAATTTATTAGGGCTATTAAAAATGTAATGAGGAGGATAGATAAAGGAAAACCAATGGGTGTAGGACACTTAAATTTCCAAAAGGCATTTGACAAAGTTCACCAGATTAGGATGAGAGAAATGTATTGCAATGAGAAGCTGAGTAAATTGGATCTATATTCTCTGGAATTTAGAAAATGAGAGGTGATCTCGTGGAAAGTTCAAGGTTATGAGGGGGCTTGACAGGATAGATTGAGAGATTGTTTCTGCCAGCTAGATTCTGCGAATCTAGAACAAGGGTCGCCATTTCTGGATAGGAAACTGAGATGAGAAGATTTTCACTCCAAGTATCTGAGCATCTTTGGAATTGTCTACCCCAGGATATTTAATGGTTGAGACTTTGGCTAATACCAGAGAGTTGTTAGTGAGTATGCTATTATATCCCAGTAGGTATAAGTATCCTCCAAACTAAAAGGAGGAAAACTGGAAGAAAGGAAAACCTGTTCACATGAGCGAGTGTACTTACAATGGCATACTGCACGTTCTGTTGACACAAGAATGGTTGTAATGCCTCCTGATTGTCGATAGACTCGTCAGATCTAAAGGTGGTGGTTTGACTGCAATTTAAACCACAATACATAAGTATTCAGATTCATTAAAATACTTCTGCTTTGAAAAAAAGTTCTCATGATTCCCTTGACTTTACAATACAAAAGCAGTTATTTTTAGTGAATTCTAAAATTTATAAAAGTGTTAAATAAACAAAAGTTTCAGCATTGTAATGATAAGACTGGATCATCCATTCAGTTCTTGAAAATATAACTTATAATCCCCACACTGGGGTTACAATGGTTTGCATCCTTACTCCTGCAAAAATATGTCAGATAATATTCCTAAACCACCCCTGCCACTTACCCTGGTGATCATGGGCATGAAATATAGATACCCACTTTTAGAGTCCACTCTAACAGCATGCTTTCATTTTAGTGCAATTTGTAAATTTGGGAATTTAGCCAAAGAATTTTTGTTTGTTTTGTTTTAGTGTGGTTATTTTGTACGCTTCAAGAAGTACATTGTAACTGTGAATCCTCATTTTTTTTTTAATCAAACTACCTCTTCCCTGAACGTCCTTTTTGTTAATATTCCCAACATTCTCATTGATTACCTGCCACTTGCTGCCCCTCCCACTCACTGATTTTCCCCTGACCCTCCCACTGGCAGGTTCCTTGTCCTCACCAGCACACACTGTTTCCCAAATGTTGACTCCTGTGTCAGCCCTTTTTCTGTGTGAATGAAACGGCGGAAGTTGTGGCAAGTGTCAGGGAAACAAGCAAGGGGTTTGGGAGAGAGAAGCAGTGATTGGGGAAAGTGAATGGGAGGGTTTGGAGAGTGGCAGTAAGTGTGAAGGTTGGCAAAAGGCTTGGGGAGAGTGAGAGCTAGTAAGAGGATTTTTGTGTCAGTTAGGTTCATGACATGCAATAGGGTTTTAATGTAAGAATTACAGATCAGGAATGTGATCCCCCTTCCTATGACAAAGTGACTTTTGTTTAGAGTGTTGATTTAGGAGTGCTAAACAAGGGATAGTCAACAAATATAGTCAACGGTAACTCTGCATTCTCTCCACAAATGCCGCCAGACCTCTTGAGCCTCTCCAGCAATTTCTGTTTTTGTTTCTGATTTCCAGTATCTTTGTTTTATTATGTAAGGAGAATTAGGTCAGATGACTGAACACTTGATCAAACAAGATTTTAAGGAGAGTCTTAAAGGAGGAATTTGAGGTAGAGAGGTGCGTGGAGGCAACTCCAGAGCTTGGGGTCTCAGAACTGTAGTCACAGTCACCAATAGTCAAGCGATTAAAACTGGGATGTGCAAGAAACCAGAATTATAGTGCAGATATCTTGGTGGGTTTTATAGCTGGAGTAATTTACAGAGACGTGGAGATATTTGAAAACGAGGATGATAATTTTAAACTCAAAATGTCTTGTGGTTGGGAGCCACTGCAGGTCAATCAAGTTTCAGGAGTGTGTGGGAACCATCTAGAAGTAACAAGGGTATGAATGAGGATTTAATGATGGCATGAGTATGAACATGGCATTCAATACCAGTTAGAGGTAAACTCTTTGGTAGAAGCTCAAGAAATGCAAATGAATTTCAGGTTGTAAATTGTCAGGAGTCCCAGTGCATGCTTGAAATGGATGTAATCCTGCTACATGGTATTCCTACCAGTTTAATATTAAATGAAGACACAACTTGCTAGCTCAGCAAGATTAGACTGCAATTTGCATTTCTTGTAAAATGTTCAGATGAAACAAGTTTGAGGGCAGTTACAACCTATAACTAATGGGTGTAAGGCCACAGCAGAAATATGAGCCTAATTTGGCTGATTCAAACATATTATTAATCATACAGGCCACCAAGGTCTGCAGTTCCAGAAATTAAAATGCTAGACTGAAGTCATTATGAAGAGTGAATGAACCTCAGTTTGTAAATTGGCAGCAGTCAAGGGGCAGGTTTATAATGGATACAATCCTCTTAATGATACTTCCACAAATAAATTGTTCAATTGCATTTGTAGAAATAGCATGAAGTTGGATTGAAATGGAGGCAGATTGTCAAGCACAGTTAATAAAGCATTGCCCTTCATTTAACATACAGGTGGAATTGAACTGAAGAAGAAAATAAAATCTTCAAGTCCCGAAATATAAATCTCACATCAATTAAGTCAACAACTAACAAGCAATTTCACAAAATAATCTAAGCAACAGCTCTACACCTGTCTTTTTATCCATCCCATTTGCCAGCTGTTCATATCTACCACCTTCAGGTTTAGTTTTAAAACTCCAATCAATTTTCTCACCACAATTTCTTTCCCTGTTCTATTTTTATTTCCAGTGCGTAATACAGGATATTACATATTAAAAATAAAAATAGAAAATGTGTGGTTTTCCAGAAGTGAGATGGAACGCCTCCAATTGAGAAACTAAAGAAAAACTTAGGGCTGTCAGTGGAATAGCTTCACACCATTCCTGTACAAGCTCTCTTAAACAGAAAAAATTCTCTCAGTTACCAGTGAACTTCACTTGATTATTCTAGCATTAATAGCCAATGTCCTCAATGTTCCTATTAGTCATATTTTCTTGGCTAGAACTACATTGATGAATTCTATCACCTATTCCTTAGCTTCAAACTTCTTCCTATTCCAGAAGGTTGAAAATTTAGTGTGGTAGTCATAACATAAATAACTAACCAGGACATCAAATCAGAGATTGAGAAACTCTTTAATAAGTGATAACACAGTGTGGAACTGGAGGAACACAGCAGGCCAGGCAGCATCAGAGGAGCAGGAAAGCTGATGTTTCGGGTCAGGACCCTTCTTCAGAACCTCTTTGATTTAGATTACCAATTTATTGTTAAGAAAGGACTTTACAATCTCAGGATCAGCAATACATCTGTGGCTCTAACTAAAACCCATCCCCCCTCAGTGCTCCCAACAATTAGTACTCATAGGCAAGCAAAATATAAAAGAGTTTATCTTACGCCAGACAAAATTACTTGTACATTTGCATTTACAAGCCCAGTGTTACAACTGCAGGATTTTGTTTTTACCCAATTTGCAATGCTATAAAAATGTTACGATAAATTAAAGATGTTTAAATAAATTATTCCATAAATATTGCATAAATATGCCATTTGGGTGGCACGGTGGCTCAGTGGTTAGCACTGCTGCCTAACAGTGCCAGGGACGCAGGTTCGATTCCAGCCTTGGGCAACTGTCTGTGTAGAGTTTGCACATTCTCCCTGTGCCTGCATGGGTTTCCTCCAGGTGTTCTGGTTTCCTGCCACAGTCCAGGTTGGGTGGATTGGCCGTAGGGGTTGCAGGGAGCGGGGTGGGGGGGCGGGGTTGGTGGTGTGCCTGGGTGGGATGTTCTTCAGAGTGCTGTGTGGACTTGTTGGGCCAAATGGGCTGTTTCCACGCTGTAGGGATTCTATAATTTTATTCCATGAAACTTGAAATGGTGCAAACGTTCGGACCTTTGAAAGCAGCCTTATTCCAAAAGTGTTTTCTGTCTAATCCTGTACCCCACGTTATTATGTAAAATTTCTTCTCTTAGATATTGGTTAAAAATATATATTAAAAGTGCTCTTCATGCTCATGATTACAATTTCAATCAACTAACAAAGGCCAAAACCTTATATCATTTGAAACATAGGTATAAAACAAACATATGAAATGTTATCCTTACTCTTTCTGACTCGAGGCTTGAGGTTCCTGTTAACCGGAGGAGGTTCAATGTCTGTGGAAAGTGTAGGTAATGGCAGATTGTCTGTGACAACTGATGGCAAGACCAGGTTTGTACATGCTGGACTCATGGGAATGTACCCATCTGATGTGCAGTCAGCTGTAGGCATTAGTGGAGATGATCCTGGATTCATAGGCACATAGCTGTCATCAGTACTGTCTGTGGTATTACACTGCTGGCCAGGGAGCTTCTATTTAAACAAAGAGGAAAAAGTTGTGTTTACAAAATGCCATGGTGAAACATGCCAGCACATCTGATGTGATGAATTATCTTTTAGATTACAGTATCAGAGCTAACAATGTCATATACAGTAGGTCAAATTGCCTCCTTGCAAGTTCTCTTATTTAAATGAGCTAAACAATTGAGATGCATACTAAGCCAACTGTATAGAAATATATTGGCTAAGAATTTGCTGGCAAAGTGACAGCAAGTTTAATGCTCATGTACTACTGGTGTAATACCTAGAGAGGAGGAGACAATCCATGAGTTGCAAATTGTGTTCATTCTTAAGACAGCTTTCAGGTGGAGTTGACCAGAAGAAGAAAAGAATATCTTCAAATCCGGAAATATAATATTTCACATCAATCAAGTCAACAACTAACAAGCAATTTCATGAAATAATCTAAGTAACAGCTCTACGCCTGTCTTTTACTCCCTCATTTGCCAGCTGTTCATATCTGAACCTGAAGGAGACAAACCACATGCTTATATTTGCTTCTGTAGCTCAAATTTCTTTCTATAGGTCGATGGCCTGAAGTCAGAGGCTGAAGTTTGAGGGGCAGCACTCCACATCAAGCATAACTGGTCAGGAGTCTCTCCTGACTGTACAACCCACAGGAGGGATTTGTAGGCTGACAAACAACTTGCTTGGCGATGTTATGAACACACCTTCTGCAACCAGCAAGTCTTGCAATGGGACTCAAACCTAGAGCTTCTTGATCAGAAGAAAGGACAATACTCACTGCACCACAAGGGGTCTTATTCTCAGGCATTAAATTTTTAAAATTTAAAATTTTAATTTTGATTTTCTGTTTTCACTTCGGCCCCTCTCTTTTATCTCTCAATTCAACATTTCTTTCCTTCCATTATTTCTCTTTCTGTACCTGATTTCATTCAAATTCATCCTGTTTCCATCATTTTTCTGCTTCTTTCTCAATTCTTAAATTCAAATGGTTAATAATTTAATCGTTCACTCACTAGGATCAAAGAGTCATAGAGCCATATAGGCATGGAATTTTTAATCATGGAAAGAAGCCCTTTGGCCTATCACGTTTGCAACACTCATCAAACGTCTCTCTCTCTTCTAATCCCATTTTCTATACTTGGCCTGCAGCTCTATATGCTATGGCACTTCAAGTGTTCACCTAAGTATTTTTTAGATGTCCTGAGGGTTTTCACCCCCACCAGTATTGGTTCCAAATACTCACTTGCCTCTAGGTGAAAAAAAACCTCCTCAAATCCCTCTAAACCTTCTGTTCTCTAGATCCAAGGTGCAAGATTACCCCACATTGTTACAACCAGGTGAGATGGGGTGAAGTGGCACTCCTCTTTTCAGCCTCCTCAGTTGGTAACAACAAGATTAAATTTGTTTTAATATGAAGCTGTTCCTTTCTCTGTTGAAATGTAGTTACCTATTTTTAACATTGGCAATAAAGAGCCAATCGCAAGGTTTTCTTGAGCTACCAGAAGAGCAAATTTAGTGTCTTCCTTCCACAGGAAAAATAATAAAGATGTGACATTAAGGCTTTTGTGCAGTCACCTGCATCCATACACATATATACTCATACAAAGTTAAGAGTATCTAGCACAAAGGAAGATGAAAAGACATATACAGTTTAGAGTTCTTTAGGTGTCCTTAAGGCATAAGGTTTTAACCTGACACCAAGGGAGATGGGCTGGTTTCTTGGATGTTGTCAGCAGGAAAATATGTCAAAGTTATTTATAAAGTTCTCTGGTGCTTCTTTTCAGTCAGTTTCAACGTGGGACTTTTATCCTTGAGAGAGAGAGCCTGCTCAGCCTGTGTTTTGTTCTGATCCTCGATTCCAACTCTTGGTCTGCCAAAAATCTTCTAGAGATAGAAATATATTCCATGTCTGTGGAAGTTGTAGTACCTATTTTGAATATCCTCATAACGGTGGAAATCAAATAGCTGATGCTGCACTTTTCCCATGGGGCCTGGCTGACTGACTTCAGTGGATTTGGGTAAAATATAAGTTTCCGCTTGGACTAATCCAAATTGGTTTCATGAAACTTGACCAACCTGTGTTGATCAAGTAATCCCTGTGCCAAGTTTAAGTCAGTGTTTTGATTCATTTTTTTGAACTATTTCCATCTAAGTGAGTCCCAGATATTAAATCAGATGATGGAATTGAAACATCAATAGTCTATTTTTAGACTGTTAATGACACACTTAGAAGATTTCACTTCCAACAATGTATGGCACTTTTTACCTCAGCTAAATGTTCTCCCCCTTTAAGCTGGTTCTTTACTTGATCCAGTTTATGGCCATTTGCTAATATCTTTATTTGGATGAACTTCATGTTCTACCTGGAGACAGCTGGAAGGTGAGTGGGGCCATATAATGAGCTGAGAAGATGCAGGGTGAAGATCCCTTCAGCTTTTGGACAGCTCTAATTAGGTTCAGGGTGGGAAGGCCAATCTGGAGTTTTCCTGCCCACAGCCAATTGAGGCCCACTATTGTCTATCCAAAGATTATCAAAAGTATTCATATATTATTCTGGTAATTAACCAGTGGCAGACAGGGGCCAAGCAATAGGTGCAAAGTAAAGCATTACAAGTACACCCGTGGTTGTGTGAGGGTGAACCTCCTTCTCAGGCACCTTGTGCCCAATGAAGAAACTTGCTGGTGGCAAAGGAGAGACTTGCAGCCCTTCACAAAAAACAAAACCCTCAAATGCTTTACAAAGGCCTCCATAACTGGGTCTGATGTTCTTGACCCAGTCATCACATCTGGGAAAGCAACAATCTTCATCTTCGGGCCTCCTGCACTCAGTGGCGACGTTAGTACTGGAGAGTGCTCGGTTTCTGATTGGCAAACAGCTATTCAAAGGCAGGACATCTGCATTATACATTCATAAAAAACATAGAAAAAGCAACGGAGAATTGCTACTGGTGGAGTTGGAAACCCTGTCAGCAGGCTGCCTGATTGTAAATTAATCCTAACAGGGCTTTTCGAAATTGACACAGTAGGATTTCAGTTCTAAAGCCAGTGATTAGGTCCACCACCACAACATCAAATTTTGCCCTTTACTTGGTTGGGTTTCAAATCTTCTCTGTCAGCTCTCTTGTGGAGTGACTTAACAATGTACAAAGCAAGCTGCTGTTGTGGCTGATTATAAAGCATTTCTCTGGAATGTGTTCATTTGTAGATAAATCCACTAGCTCCCCATTCAACAACAATATGAGATGATTGAACTTAGTGTTAGACCATTCCACTGAACAGAAACAGATGGTATCACTTCAAAAAAGCATGGCATGACTTGTTTATTTTTTCCATGTATGACAGATCTTCCCATGGAGTGTTGCTTTGCTTTAATGTTATAGATATATAAGGGCTGGTATGTATATTTAGCCTCAGGATATCTGCTTTAGGATCACACTGGAACTAGCATAGCATTGGCACATTTGGCACCATTTTAGATTGGTCTCTCCTGATTCCCAACATTCTCTCCTACTCTCTTGCTCCTCAAGCCTCTTCCCCTGCTCCTAAATGAACCCTTATTTGCTTCCCAAGGCCTTTTTTCACTTTTCAAGACCTTCTTCCACTCCTTGAGACCCTTTCCCCTTCTATAAACCTTTTGCTTACAGGCTTCTCCCATTTGTTGATCTCTTTGGCTCACCAGCTCTCCTGCTCCTAGGCTCTTTCCCTCTCACCTAGCCCTCCTGCTCACCACTTCCCTCCCAGTTGCAGTTCCTCTCAGTCTTTGCACACTTTGAAGAGTGGGCAAGAGTCAAGGAGAGCGATTGATAAGAGAAACGGTCGGGCAGCAGGAGAGAATCAAGGAGGGGAATAAAGACATGAAGTTGGAGAGAGGCAGGGAAGGGGAAACAGCAGTAGAAAGCCAGGGAGGGGAAGAGAGTCGTCGAGTGGGAGGGAGTCAGCGAGCCGAAGGGCTGGCTAATGAAGCAGTGACAGAGTTAAATGCAAATTAGTAGCATGTTTCTTTTATGTTTTAAAATGTATTTTATTTTAAACCTAACTTCATAAATACAGAAAATAGGAATGCACAGTATTTCAACTGCAAGTATATTGCATTAAAGCTTTGTGTTTCCTAATGAGAAAGGTCCCAGAGAATCTAGCTACAGCTTTTACATTGGTTATGATGGGACAATCGTAAATTTGTTTCATTTAAAGTTGCTGCAACTACAACATCAGCCAACAATCAGGCAATTGCTGTACCTATTGCAATACAAAAGATTTTTAATATGCAGTACTCACCATATTTAGATTAAGTCCTTCATTTGCAGACATTATGCAGTTCCCTTGGAAATCAGTAAATGGCAGCAAATTGCACCCCTCTGTATCTGAAACACAATTGTTGCTTATTACAGTCAAGTATGCATGACTATGTTACAATAAACAAATCAGCAATGATAAGACGTGGTAACTGGATGTGAAGTTTACTTCAGAATTTTTTCTATTGTTTTTCACAGTAACAGTTCTGATCCTCATATCTAAAGGAAGGATATGCTTCCAGTAAAGTGTTCACTGGATTAGTCCCTGAGATGAAAGGGCTGTCCAGGATGAGGAGTAGAGGAAATTGGGCCTAAACTCTCTTGAGTTTAGATGAATTTGAGCTGATTTTATTGAAACATATAAGATTCTGTGGCAGCTTTACAGCATCAAAATTGAAAGGTTGCTTCACCTGGTTGAGGAATCTAGAAGATGTGGCATAGGCTGAGGATAGGGGGTTGATGTTTAAGGACTGAGAAGAATATTTTCACTCAAAAGAATGTGAATCTTTGGAACTGTCTCTGTCAGGGGGTTGTAGATATTTCATTATTGATTATATTCAAAGCATAAATTGATAGATGTGAATCCGTCAGTAAATCAAGGGATGTGGGCAGGTAAGTGGATTTGAGGTAGATCAGCTACAATCATGTTGAATTACAAAGAAACAGTCCATGATGCTGCACAGCGACACCATGTTGACCATGGAAGGATAAAAGACAAGAATAGATATGCACATCTCAGCTTTGCAAGAAATTACGTTTATTGACAGTGGAGAAAGGGGCCCTTAGAATAGACAAGGTGACAAACTCATGAGTGAGGGTTTTAATGAGGTTCTAGTAATGTAAGGTAGTGTTACTGACTTGAATGTAACCAATGTAGGCAATGATGAAAAGTGTGATGATACGATGCTTTAAGAAGTGTATTTTGGTTCTTTTTTTTAAATGAAGAAAACTTGAGACAGAGGTAGAAAGCCAGCTGCTCAAAGTCAATAGAGTAAACAGCTTGTGAGGCCTTGGATTTTTTTTTAAAGGTTTGAACATTAGAAGCAGCCTGAATGGGCAGGGTCAAGCCTCTACTGGGACGTTTAGTTTTAGCTTTCAGTAGTTGCTGGGCTCTTGAAGCTGGATGTTGAAGCTTTTATTCTGCTCTCTGTTATAGCTAAATGCTGTGGTTCTCTTCCTGCTGCTAGAATTGCATGTGAGACAATCTATTTTATTGAATTTGTCTTTGCCAAGGGTAGGTTGATTGGATGTTACTATATTGGAATAGTTAATTAGTAGTAGTTAATATACTGTTTTGTTAAGCATTTCAATACAGTTACACTTAAGCCAATCCTTCTCTTTCTTTTTAATATCTGTTTTTATACCACAGTTAAAATACAAAGTGTGTTTTGCTTAAAGTCTAATAGTTTGGCCAATCAAATTGTATCTGGAACGCAAAGCCTTACACTTAACATTAAAATAAAAAAAAAGTTAGGGCCTAGGCTATCTTCTTCATATATTTTCAGGAGATTTAGTCTGTTTCATAACAAGAGGAGATGGATCAGAAACCATCTCAGAACCAAAAATGTCTGAGATTCACTATCAGTTATCATATAGAAAGGAAACAGCAGTTAATGGCACAGGCAGAATTTCTGGCAGTAACTTGAAGCATTGGGATAAACATGTTCTATGCAATCAATTTTTTTCTGAAGAAGGGTCTAGGCCCGAAACGTCAGCCTTCCTGTTCCTCTGATGCTGCTTGGCCTGCTGTGTTCATCCAGCTCTACACCTTGTTATCCCAGATTCTCCAGCATCTCCAGTTCCCACTATCTCTGGAAATCTTAATTGATGGATATTAATAAATTGAAACAAGTGTTATACACTTTAGCAGTGCAAAGGTTTATGAGATATATCCCAATGCTTGGGTCAGTGACATTACCTTTCCAACTTCTTTTCTCCAGACTTGAGAGAGGGATTCTTTTCGGTACTGGTGCTGGATTTATTGCATAGGCACCATTCCCATTCTGAATTACTTTGTGAGTCTTTTCACGCTCTGTTAGTTGGCTTGGTTTTGGTGGCCTTGGTGGAGGAGTGTTGGACAAAAGGTGAATCCCTGTTACACCAAATGGCAATGCATTATGGTTTTTGTCAAAGTTAAAGATCTGTGAGAACGAATACACTGACATTGGAGATGAAGATGCTGATGAAGGTCCACTTTGATCTTGATTGGGAAAAATGACCACTTGTGAATCTTGCAGATTTTTATATAAAGGCACATTGCAAGATGTTTGTGTTGGGGTGCCATTCTTGGACTGTAGATTCTCCTGAATATCATCTGATCCTGTCAACTCAAAGGAATGATCGAGTGATCTATCACATGGTGAACAGCTGTTGCTTCTGCAAAAATAAAATCGCCAGATTCAGAGAGAGACAAAAGAAAATACTTGCAGTTGTACAGCAGCTTCAAAATCTCTCAGAAACTTCCCCAACACTTCATTCAGAATAAATTAGGCTTAAAATTTAGTGACTGTTAATATGTAGGCAACGTGTCACAAACAACAATTAGATAAAAGACTTATTAATCAGCTTGAGAGACAAGTGCTGGCCAGATCATCAGGAGAATTCTGCTCTTTGAATAGTGCTCTAGGGTTTCTAACATCCATCTGAACCACTAAAACAGGCAGAAGAGGCCACAGTATAAATGTAATCTGAAGACTGGTATCTGAATAATGCAACATTTGCTTCATACTGCACTGAACCATCAGCCCAGATTATGTACTCAAGTCCTGAAGTGAGGCTTGAATCCAACATCTTCTGACAAAAGCTTCAGATGTGGCTCAAGTGTCAGGTGGCTGTAGGTAACTGATGATGACTCCTAACACAACACTTCAAATGTCACTTCAAATCGTGAGGTTAATTCAAACTGATATACTGTGAGGTCAACCCTTCACAATATTAAACACACCATTTTTCTATTATAGTATCCTGCTGATTATTAAATGAATGCACTGTTAATGTATTACCCATAATAACAGTTCGTGCTTTCACAGTAAACTAAAAATGCATACTATGTCCCCCTTTGACATTACACATTCCTTGATATATTAGAACTGTACCATAAGTAGTGAATCATACTGTGTGTTGTTCTTAACACGAGTCTATTAATCAATGGAAATTATAACTGAATTTTGATTGGACAATTCAGCAGTGTTAGGTTAAATGGTCACTAAAACAAAAGTAAAATTTCATTTTGCCAATTTTCTCTCATGTTGTCCTGAACGTGCTAAATTCTAAAGTACAACTGCACATGTGATTTCAGCTGTTGGTATCATGTCACGTGTCTAGTTTTTATATGTAAGAGCTAGTAAATCATTCAACTTCAAGATGTCACCAGCATTGAGGCCAGAAGGAGGAACTTTTTTTTTTGTTTTTCCCAATAGTACACCTCACTGGGGTAGCATGCCAGAAATCAAGCCCACTATTCCTGGCATTATCATAAAATTTAAAGATCTTACAAAAAATACTCAAAATTCCCCTACCTCTTAGAGCCAGGTTGACAGAAAGCACAGACCAGATTTCTGCACTCAACAAGAATTATTATTTATTATAACTCAATAGATTCTAGCTACAGGTAAATAATTATGAACCATTATAAAATCCACGATAAAACTATTATAAAACTCCCCTACATACATACAAAAAACTGAGTGTGCTGGGCAGAGGGAAATATCGGATAGGGAGCTCAATGATCTCGGTGCACACAGATTGTCAGGACTTGCTGCTCCTCAACCTTCCTTCTCCAGGTACTTTCACTTGCTTGCAGGAGGCATGGAGTGACTGGTTCACAACTTACATAACCGCCCGCTTATTGATTAAAAGCCACAGCTTACAGCAAATGATGAGGGGATATGAACTGGCTTTCTTCAGGGCTTGAGGTGTTTTGTTTATCTGCAGAGTAAAGGACAGCTCCTTCCTTTGCAGAGATCTGATGGTTTCGCACCAAACTTTCATACTGACAAGCTCTTCAGCTACCTGGGAGCCAATCACACGATTGCTGGCAGGCAGAAGACCTTTGTCATTGACAACTGGTCATCATTCCACAACATCAATCAGCTACTTATTGCTGTTGATATTTTGTTTTGTACATACTCACTGGTTCCAGTTCATCTGCAACCAGACTTCCCCGAGTGCTTGAACGAAGTATAGTGTAAACAGCACTTAAAATGAGTGTCGCTAGCTAGCTTTGCAAAAAAAAACACTAATCCTTTTCACAACTCTTGGTTCTTGAAACAGTCCTTTTCTATTTCAGGCCACAATGAAAAATACAGAAAAAAATATGGTCTTTACACTACCCAAGATCATTAAAGTCAATTATTGTGCCCCAGCTAGCTGCACCAGTCAAATCAGCTCACTCAAAACAGGCCATGAATTGACCAAGGTCTGTATTGCCATCCTTTAGAAAGGAGCAGTCCTAGACCATATGCTCCTAAGGTAGCAATTTATTTTTGATTTTCACTCATGTACAATGAGGCAAACTGGAGGGGGAAGCAAGGGCTAAGGCCTTTAAATAAGAAGTCTCTTTCTGCATGCACTGCATCACCGTCATGCTACTTCTGTTAATAATGACAGTTAAACCCAAGAAAGTACCAAATGCCAGATTGAAAACCTTCTCTGCAATATCTGTTTGAGTCATATGCAGTGCTATCTGATATTTGTTTATTGGCTCCTGATACCACACTTGGAATTTAATGATCTGCATGAGCCAAACTTTGACTTATGTTGCTGAGATTTCTAAATGGAAGTCAGTTTCTACTAAAGGTCCACATCTATCAATTATCCAACAAATGTCACAATTGTGACACTGAGCATTTAAGGTCAACACAAGGTTTCACAGAGGAAGATCAGGCAAGTTTAATTCAGGTGATGTGGAGCAGCCAATGGCCTGGGTTGCAGTGGGAACACAGCAATGATCAGGTCTTGGGGGAGGGGCAAGAGAAATCAACATTCTCGCCTCTGATTGCCACCTGCTGGCCATTGTTGGGAAGTACATGTGTAAATATTGAGCGCGAACAGGAACAATTTCAGTCGTGGTACTCTCAACAGCAAAACTGGCGACTGCTATCCACCCACTGGGCTCATGTGTAAAGGCAAATCATTTGATCAAGGTATCAGACAGTGCCAAGCCTGTGCAACTGTGCCCAGAAAAAAGTCAGTCCTTTCAGATGAGATGGAGGAGGAACTGAAGGAATTATTGCATGTATCATTAACTGACAGTCTGTACTCAGCAGTTTAAACAATAAAATGCCATTATGTTGCAGCATTTTATGACTTCAATGTGTTAGCCAGTGAGAATTCAACAGGAAATTAGCATGATTGATATTTTAACAAAGAAACTAAAGTGGAAACATTTAGCTCTGTTAAAGGCAGAATCAAGGTAAAATGTATTAAAGAATAAGAATTATTGATGCCCTCGACTTAACAGTTTTAGTTACCGAATTTGTTCAAAAGTTTTACCTGGCAATATCAATTGACTTGGTCTCACATTGGGATAAAATGAGATAATCCAGAGGCACGACAGCAGACATTGTAGATTCTGACTCACTCCTCCTGGAGTCGGCTTCCATTACAGAATCCTGAGCTGTGGGAAATTGATCTCTATTGATCGACTGTGATGTATGAGTTGAAACAGCAGGAGATGGTTGGAGAGATGAGGAGGTAGTAGGGGAAGAGCTCCCAAGGGAATCTGAAAGAAAAATATTATTACTTCATCCTCTATTCAACATTCATTGTTGTTTAGAGGTGCATGGAAACATCATCACTGTTCTTCAAAATCCCCTCAGAGTCACACATCACCCCAATTGGATAAATTATTGCTGTTCCTTGTCGCTGGGTTAAAATCTTGGTACTGCCTATCAGGCTAAATTGTGGGAGTACCTTTCCTGCAAGATGGCAGTAATTGAATAGGAAACCTTCTCAAGAAAATTTAGAATAAACAATAAATGCCAGACTTGCCAATGAACCCACATCTTGAGTTTTTCTTTAAATAAAACAGGTTACATTTAAGTCATTTTGAAGCTGAAACTGGTATATCAGCAGCATGAAACAGACTTCTAATGAATCATCATTTTGTGATGTAGTGCGCAAGTGTTTAATTTCCATTGACTTGGAAAAAGTTGCCTTCTTTTTTCACTTCAAACTAAGTAAAAGAACTGAGAGACTCAAAAATTGTCTCTAAGGAAGGTTAAACTGTTCCATGAGCTTCAGTGGAAAGAAGATTGGATGTGGTGCAAACTTGTCTGTAGGTTTATTGTGCAGGCACTGAATACTTTGATTTCATCCTGTGAGCAGGAGACCAACTAATCAGCATCAAGTATACCAATGTATACGTGATAGGAATTGTATCCCTCCATTTTACAAACGTATCATTACTTGTACTTTTAAGACCTTGTTATCTGGGCAGAACGAATCATATTAGCCACATAACATGAATAATCAAACTATATGTGATCGAACTTAATCCATTGCTCCTATGCCCAGTTCAATGTCTTTTTACTGTTAATAATTCAAGTGCTATAATGTTTTTAATATTGTGAAATATGACATAATCTGATAAGATTATTTTGAAATTACTGAATTCCAACATCTTTTTATCAGAAGTATGATTTTTGTAAAGTCTCTGACATGTAGTCTAACACTAATTACTTTTCACAATTTTTGAACTCAAGGTGAAGGAAGCTACTGCTCTGGAATGAAGCAATTTCTGCTTTCAACCTTGGCTATCAGTATCAAATTTTCGAAGATCTGATACTATAGAGGTCAAAAGCAGGATAAAGCAGTTTTGTATAATGGCCCTCTTCTGACAGGAATGGAGTGAACACGGTACAAACTAACTTCAGATTGAACTCATGTGGCCAGTCGATAGAAATTACTTTACTTTGAATCTAGATCATGAATTCTTCCCATATAAAATAACTTCTCCAACATTACTCATGGAAGCTATGACAGTATAGTTAAATTTCTCACTTTATTTTCTTTTAACTTTAAATATTCCCACTGACATAGTTAATTTGACTTCCTTATTTCTTGGTTCTCAATTTTTTTTCCCAACATCTGGCAGCCCAAAAAGATTACTGTTATTACAATTCACCCCATCAGGGGGCACCAAAGCTAAATTGCTAAGATTGCCATATTATCCAGGATTGCTGCACACTGTAGATACAAAGGCAACAGAAGATTGAAAATACTTAAAACGTCTAAAGATTGAAGCTGACACAACCTTTTATTTACATTTTTATCAAAACCCTTTTCAGCTTCCCAACAAGTTTTACCCTGTCATCATTCTACTGAATCCGAGTATCTCTGGAGTATTTCACCACAGGAGGAGACCATTTGGCCCAGTACGTCCGCACTTGCTCTCCAAACAAGCATTCAGACTTGGTGCCATTCTCCAGTCTTTTCCCCATACCCTACACTCTGTTTCTGCCAAAGGGTCTGTTTCTGTCCTGTATGACTCTATGGTTCTATAAATAATCATCTCATGCTCTCTTAAATGCTTCAACTGAACCTGCCTCCATGCCAGTTCAAGACAGTGAAATCCAGACCTGAACTACTTGTTGTGCAAAAATGTATTTTCTCACATCACATTTGCCTCTTTTGCAAATCACTTTTAATCTGAGCCCTCTCGTTCATCATCCTTTTTTTTAAATGACTCGGAGTGGTGTCTCTCCATCAGTTCTACACAGCCGGCTCATGATTTTGAAAACTATCAGATTTTCTCTTAGCTGCCTTCTCTACAAGGAGAACAGTCCCAACCTTTCCATTTTATCCTCATAAAGGGCATTTCCCATCATGGGAACCTTTCCTGTAACCATTCTTTCCGATGCATTTGCAACATTCCTTTTGGGTGGTGCCCAGAACTATACACAATACTCCTACTGAGGTCTAACAAGTGTATTATACAGTTTCAGTATCACCTCCTTGCTCTTGCCTTTAATAATAAAGCCCGGGAGACTGTACACTTTTGAAACTATTTTCTCCACCTGTCCTGCCACCTTCACTGATTAGTGCACATATAAGCCCAGATCACTCTGCCTCTACAACCCCTTCAGAATTGTACCCTTCATTTTATATTGTCTGAGCATGTTGCTCCCATAAAAATGCATTGCCTCAGACTTCTCTGCATTGAACTTCATTTGCCACCTATTCGCCCCATCCACCAACTTGTCTGTGTCCTTTTGGGGTTCTTCATTGTGCTTTTCACAGTTTCCAATGCTTCCAAGTTTTGAATCAACCTCAACTTTGAAACTGTTTTTAGCATATAAAGATCTACATAGAGTCATAAAGTACAGAAACAGGCCCTTTGGCCCAACTCGTCCATGCCGACCGGGTTTCCTAAACTGAACTAATCGCATCCACATTTGGCCCATATCCCTCCAAACTTCCCTGTCCAAATGTCTTTTAAATGTTGTAATTGTACCCACATCTACACTTCCTCTGGCAGTTCGTCATTAAGATATAATCAAGCAAAGTAAGGGTCTCAATACTGATCCCTGGGGAACTCCACTGTAAAGCTTCCGCTAACCCAAAAATATCTGTTGACCATTACACTCTGCTTACTATCATTCAGCCAATTTTAGTCTGTGAGATTTTCTCACAATCCAGTTTATAGATGTACTAAACAGCCTCTGAAAGTCCACATACACCATACCAACAGCAATGTCTTCACATCAAACCTTTCTGTTACTTCTTTAAAAAACTCCAGCAAATCATTTAAATGCAACTTCCCCTTTAGAAATCAATACTGGCCCTTCCTAATCAATCGACCTTGTCTCATGTGGCTACTAATTCTATCCTGAATAATTGTTTTGAGAAACTTCACCACCATCGGAGTTAAACTGCCTGATCTGGAATTGCTGGGCTTCTCCTTACAAATATTTTTGAACAAGGGCAATAATTCAGTCTTCTGGCACTTCTCCCCGAGTTCCAGGAAAACTGAATGATTATGGCTGGCACCCCCACTATTTTCACTCATGATTCATTCGCTATCCTTGGATACATCTCATTTTGTTCTGGTGATTTGTCAACTTTAAATATCAATCAACCACATTGCTGTGGATCCAGAGTCACATACAGACCAAACCAGATAAGGATGACAGATTTCCTTCCCTAAATGGCATTAGTGAACCATTTAGGTTTTTATGATAATCGGCAATGGTTAGATGGTCATCACTGGGCCAGCATTTAATTCCAGATATTTATTTAATTCAAAATTACTATCTACCAGAGTGGGATTTGAACCTATGTGGCTACAGCATTAGTCGAGTTTCTAGATTGCTAGTCCAGTGATCTTACCATGGCAGCACCACCTACCTATAAATCTACCTCCTTGGTAAAGACAGATGCAAATTATATTTAATACCTCATCCCTTGTGTCAATTCCTTTAATGGTCCCTAATCGATCCTACCTCTCCATTTACTATTTATTTGCATATAGAAGACTGTGGAATTCCCCTTTTGTTGGCTTCCAGTATTTTCTCAATTTCTCTTTACTTCTCAACTATGCTCATTCATGTTCCCTCTTAACCCTGTCTATTCCTCTTGGTTCTCAATTGTATTTTCTGCCTGATACTTGTCATAGTCATACTTTTACTCCTTTATCTTAATTTCTATCTTCTTTTGTCATCCAGGGAGTTCTAGATTGGTTTGTCTTACTTTTCCTTTTGAGGGAATATACTTTGACTCTTCCTAAACCATCTCTACTTTGAAGGCAGTCCAATGTTCAGTTGCAGTGTCTTCTATCAACATCTCATTCCAGTCCACTTGACCCAGCGTTATTCTTTCCTTATTAAAATCAGGCTCTCTGCCAACTGATTTTTCATACTCCGGATTGACATTTGTCACTCCCCATCATCAACCTGAACCATATGAACCAATGATCATTGTCTCCTACATGCTTCCCCACAGACACTTGTTCTGTTGTCAATCTTATTGTAAATTTTCCGTGTTGCTGGAACCCTCTCAGTGTTGCTCCACTAGTGACTGTTTGAATGGTTGTTTCTGTGGGTGGGACTGACCTCGACAGCACTTGTCCTGTCACACAGATGGAATGTTCTACCACTGCAAAGTACTCAATTCACAAGTTAGTTGGGAACACAAAATAAGTTGAAATATCAGTTCAAATAACAGAGAAAACCATTTAAATTTTGGAGCAAAATTGAAAAGTCAGAGACAATCCTTTCACTAAAATTGAAATAGTCTAGAACACTATATGATCATGAAGCCCTTCAATCAGATATTATGTATTAGATACAAGAGACAATGACATATGTTTGCCCTGATTACATAGTTTGTAAGGGCTCTGGTCCTTGCAAAGGTCAAGTAAGCCTATCCCAACAGCACAGCTCCATAATACCCTAGTACTGATGTCCATGAATCAAAGCTCATTTACCCCACATCAATCTTTGAACCACATGTTCAACTCTCTGACTTACCCAATGCCAATTTTCTGTGGCTCTGGTAGTAATCCAGATTACCTCTTAAAGGGGATTAATAAACAGGTTCTTCTGTGTTATTGGTACTCACATTGACTATAGATATTAGATTGTATTAACCTTGCATCTTTTCAACAAGTGCGAGGCCTGAAACTCCTCCAGTGCTCTCTTCTGGATCACTTGTAGCCACACACTATTGACCCTGATTTTGAACCTGGAGGGTGTGACTGCATCCTGAAGCAAACTGTTTAGG